TATCCTGAGGTTGTGCACGCCCTCTGCTTCGGGCCCGGTCATGGAGAACCGGGAGAAGCCGGGGATCGACCGGTTGAATCCTGGGAAAGGGAAAGGGAAGCTTGTTAGGAAGGAGCTTGGTAATTATTGAATTTTATCATCTTTTTTAGTGTAGCAGTATTGCTATTATTTTAGTCATAATAATAATCATAATCTATCTATGCTCATTAATATATGTCTGTCTCTGTTTCTGTCTGTTTGTCTCTCTCTCTCTCTCCTACTCATTTACACACTCACACAAACACACACACACACACACACACACACACATACACATACATACACACACACACACACACACACACACACACACACACACACACACACACACACACACACACACACACACACACACACACACACACACACACACACACGGTGCAAAAGCTAAAATACAAACAGACAAGAGAAATCGTCCCCCTCAAAAAAAAAAAAAAAAAAAAAAAAAAAACATAAATATATGAATAAAAATAAACGGAAGCAACAAATCAGTAAGGAGATCATTTAAAGACCCCCAGATGCCAAGCAAAACAAAAGACTCCATTAAGAACTACGCAATATAAGCTATGAATATGAATATGGCCTTTTTGGGAGCCAAGCAAGACGGATCCTCCCTCTGTGAAACTATCAGGGAAAACCTTTGCATTTTTAAATGTTAATTTGAAGGGAAAACTTTGGGTTCTTTTGAGTAACGTAGGTCTGTTTACATTTCGCAGACAGGACAAATGATGCACACTTTGTAGGGCTTTAGTCTGCGTATAAGAAGAATTAAGATGATGAATAATAAGAAGAAAAGAAGTAGGAGAGAAAGAAGAAGAAAAAGAAGAAGGATAAAAAAGGAAGTACGCGAGGGAGAAGAAGAAAGGGAAGAAAAAGAAAAAAAGTCGAAGAGGATGATGATAAAGAGGATGAAGAAGAAGAAAAGAAAAGAGGAAAGGATGATGATAATGAAGAAAAAGCCCGAAGAAAAGAAAAAAAATAATAATTCAAGAATAATAAAAAACAAGAGATTCAGTAAATGGATCTAAAACAGAAATGCATGGCGGTGAGGATACAGGCATTTCACGCGCGAGGAGACAATACTGCTGTAAAAGTAAGAGGAAAATCACTGATAGAACGAGAAAACAAAACAGAGAAGGTTGAAAATGACCATATGGCAAAGGAGAGAGAGATTATGAGAGAGAGAGAGAGAGAGGGAGAGAGAGAGAGAGAGAGAGAGAGAGAGAGAGAGAGAGAGAGAGAGAGAGAGAGAGAGAGAGAGAGTGAGAGAGAGAGAGAGAGAGTGAGAGAGAGAGAGAGAGTGAGAGAGAGAGTGAGAGAGAGAGAGAGAGAGAGAGAGAGAGAGAGAGAGAGAGAGAGAGAGAGAGAGAGAGAGAGGAGAGAGAGAGAGAGAGAGAGAGCAAGCGAGCGTATGGATAAAAGAAAAATCTCCGGTACGTTCAGGCCAGATTTCACTAACTCTCAAATGCTTTATATCATATAATATATAAAAAGAGCAAAACGGCAGAAACAGTCTGAGATAGATAGATAGATAGATAGATAATACACACACACACACACACACACACACACACACACACACACACACACACACTATATATATATATATATATATATATATATATATATATATAGAGAGAGAGAGAGAGAGAGAGAGAGAGAGAGAGAGAGAGAGAGAGAGAGAGAGAGAGAGAGATCTGAAAGAGAAGCTAGAGAAGAGAGAAAAACAATGAGATAAGAGATGGGCAGAGACAGAAAGAGGAAAGAGGAGATATCCCAGATAAAAGCGAGGCGAAAGAAACAGAGAAAAGATCAGAAACGAGAAAAAAAACAACTTAGAAAGAGACAAGAAAAAAAACTCCACAGGCATATAATTTCTCTTCCTCCTCCTTCTCCCTCTCCTCCTCCTCTCCTTCTCCTCCTTCTCCTCCTTCTCCTTCTCCTCCTTCTCCTTCTCCTCCTCCTCCTTCTCCTCCTCCTCCTCTCTTTCCTAAGATATGAATTTTGTTCTGGTTACCTTCTTCCTCCTAAGGGCGAGGGGAAAAAACATATCCCCTTTAACCCTGGGAGTTGGTCATTAACCGGCCCTCCAGGAAACCCGGGCAGGCAGAGGGACCAGAAGAACGGGACCACAGGGGAGTTACAGCGGGGGGGGGGGGGGGGGGATAGGACTGAGGGGAAACGTAAGAGGAGGACGAGGGGGGGTTGGCAGGGAAGTGGGCGAGGGGGAAAAAGTGGGAAGGAGATGGGAAAGGAGGGAGCTGAAGAGGGGAATGGAAGAAAAGTGAGGGGAAAGGTAATAAGGGATGGGAGAAGTAAGGGAGGTAGGGGGGGAGGGGGGCAGAGGGAAAGGAAGGAGGGGAGGGGTTAAGTAGGGGAAGCGGTAGAGGGGAAATGAAGAGAAATGAGAAAGGGGGAGAGAGGCGGCCAAAAAGATGATAGGCGAGGGTTGGGACGTGATATGAAGGAGAAATGAAGAAGAGAAAAAAAGTGTGAGGGGATGAGGGGGGAGGGGGGGAGAGTGGCATCGGAAAGGAGAAGACGGCAATAGAGAGGGAAGAAGTGGAGGGAAAGTGACCTAAGGGGAAAAGAATTGGAAAGAAAATGATAGGTTGGCGGAGGGAAGGAGAAAGTAGTGAGTTATGGAGAAGCAATAGCTGAGATGAGTGTGGGAGGAGGGGATAAGGGTGGGGGGGGGGAAGGAGTAATAAGAGGTAGGGCAAGAGAACAGGTCAAGTGTGGGAGAGGGTAACTGAAGGGAACAAGAGAGGGATGAGAATAGGAAAGTGATGAGATGATAGGAAAATGGGAGATTGAAGATAAGATGATAAATAAGGAAAAGGAAAGAGAGAGAAGGGAAAGAAAAGGAAAGAAAATCAAGGAGTATGGAAGGGAAGCAAAGGGAGGCTAAAGAATGAATGGAAGACGGGGAAGAGGAGAAGACGAGTTAAAGGAAAGAGAAGAAGAGGTAAGGAAAGAAAAACAAAAAGGCAGAGAAAGGAGGAGACCGAAAAAAAAGCCGGAAAGGTAAGAAAGGACAGCATTAAGAAAGGGGGACGAAGGAGAAATAAAGAAGGCGGCGAGAGGGGAAGGCGGAGGAGAGGAGGAACGTGAATAGTGAACAAAAATAGGAAAGGGCGAAACGGGAAAGAAACGAAATTCAAAGTAAACATGTGGAATAAATGGCGTAAAGAGGAGAAAAAGGGGTCGCTTCGAAATGAAACCTAATTAAGACTGGGAAGCTGAATAGAACTGTAACAAAAGGGGAAACATGAGAAAAAGGAGAGGGAAAGGAGGAGAATAGAATAAGAGAAGAAGAAGGAGAAGAAGAAGAGAGAGAGAGAGAGGTGGAGAAAAAGAGAGATGTGTATGTGTGCGTGTGTATGTATGTGTGTGTGTGTGTGTGTGTGTGTGTGTGTGTGTGTGTGTATGTGTGTGTGTGTGTGTGAGAGAGAGAGAGAGAGAGAGAGAGAGAGAGAGAGAGAGAGAGAGAGAGAGAGAGAGAGAGAATGAGATGACGCACTTGCGTGAAAGTGCCGATGGTGACGATTATAACTATTTTTGGGTCTTCTGGCAAATGCTAGATCCATAAAAGAAGAGGCAGAAGTAGAAGAGGCGGAAGAGGAGGAGGAGGAGTATGACGAACAGGATGACAATGAAGAAAATTAAGAACATTGAAAGAAATAATCTAGAATGATAGATAGTTAGCATGTAGACACGCCCACTCATATATATACACATACTCACAAATACATTCCCACACACACATACACGAGCACGCACACACACACACACATACACAGGTACGCCTTTATTACGTAGTGGACATTCCTCACGTGTTCTCGGTCCCACCATAACTGACGGTGTAATAAATTCTCCACCAGAACCAAGGAATACCCACCGTCCCAATGATAAAAAAGTAAAAAAAAGAAAAGAAAATTCAAGATGAATTTCAAACCCGCCATCCTTCCTCTTAAAATTTTGCAATAGCCAGCACCTCACTTATGAGGCAAGGGATCATGTCGAGCCATCTTGCCAGGAGACGTCTGAGAGGAGGATCTGTCTGTCTGCCTGTCTATCTGTGTGTCTGTGTGTGTGTGTCTGTCTCTCTGTATGTCTTTCTCTCACTTTCTCTCACTTTCTCTCTCTCTCTCTCTCTCTCTCTCTCTCTCTCTCTCTCTCTCTCTCTCTCTCTCTCTCTCTCTCTCTCTCTCTCTCTCTCCCTCTCTCTCTTAATCTCTCTCTCTCTCTCTCAAGACATGGGATGTAACTCATCCCCTCTATTGACAGGGTCACTCTAGTTGATGAGCGTACGTTTTTTTTGTTGTTGTTTTTTGTATAAGGATGATGAACAACAGCGATTTTATACATATTTTATATCATGACTGGCGATATCGGTGAGATACTTTTTATTCTAAACTTCAAACACGTGCTATGCCACCGCCGCAGAAAATGTAATGCAACGCCGTGACTGGCAGAGACAGACCATGTGGCTATGTCACGTCAAAATCCTTCTGAGGCTATAGAATCTAGAATTTCAACTCCCCGGTTTTCGGGGAACTGTAGAAAATTGAAAATAGCTGGATACTCCTCGAAACCATTACAGCATTGATGATCTTCGTATGCAAATATCGGAGATCGATACCGTTCTCGTTAACTCCTGCTGGAGAACCCTCTCAAAACGTCCGAGTTCTAAGGATCGCCGTGTTCGTTAAAAAAAGGACCTCAGACTCGCCACTACTCGCTCCACGCTGCGCTTCATTTCAGGGGAACCTCTAAGATGCAAACGGAAAGAATATTAATCAAGCGGGACTCGAGGAAGGAGCAGGTACTAAAAAACTGCCAAGTTAGAATTTCCAAACGGTTTCAGGTCGGTAAAATTTCGAAATGACTTTAGGTTCTGAAACCTGAAGTGAGAGAGAACTCTTTTTTTTTAAGAAGGAGAACGTAACTACTCCCAAGGAAAGCATCCGAGCTGAGAAAATGAACAGTAAGGAAAGAAAGGAGAAAACTTTAGTCATTCTTTCCTTCCCTTTTTTACTTAAGAACGAGGACAGTGAATCATTTTCGACCGTAGACGAGTTCCTATCTACCTTTTCCATTCCAGAAAGAAACTTCATCCGAACAATCACTTATCACACATATCCTGGTAAAGGCCTGGAGCTTTATTCATCAATAGAACACCAAATCTTTACCGTAAACATTGACACAAAACTTTAGCTTTCTTTGTTCTATCATATTGCACCAGGAACCCCCGAGTCAAGCGAGGTGGAATGTGACAAAGAGACCGAGGAGGTTACAGGACACCCTCGTACGTGTCCATTAAACCCTCAGCTAAGAAGGGGTAAGAAGGATACGAAGAGGAGGATGACGAGAGGAAGAAGAAAACAAGAACGAGGCCGAAGAAGAAGAAGAAAGAAAAGAAGAAGGGAGATAAAATAATAATAATAACGATGATTATGCCGACACAAACAATTACAATAACAAATAAACAATGATAATGGTAATAATAATAACAATAACAACAATAATGATAATGATGAAAACAATGATAATAATAAAAACAAAGAAAAGAATAAGGAGAAAGAGCAGAGGGAAATGGAGAACTCAAGGGCGTGGGATGAGAGAGGCACCTGTTATCCTAGGAAGGCGAAGAAGGAGAGAAAAAAAAGGAAGGAAAAATACATGAAAAAAGAACATCAGGCAATATGGCTGATACATCCAGAGGGAACGAGGGGTTTCCTGTACGTGTCTGTCTGTGTGTGTCTGTGCTTTTATCAGTGAGCATGTGTATGTATACGTAATCCGTATGGTGTGTGTGTGTGTGTGTGTGTGTGTGTGTGTGTGTGTGTGTGTGTGTGTGTGTGTGTGTGTGTGTGTGTGTGTGTGTGTGTGTGTGTGTGTGTGTGTGTGTGTGTGTGTGTGTCTACACGTGTATGTGAACGTGTGTATGCATGTATAAAACCATACGTGGGCACGTGTATCTGAACCCACTCGTGCGCGCGCGTGTGTGTGTGTGCACGTATATGTGAACGTATGTGTGTGCGTGCATGAGGAGCAACGAAGGCAAGAGGAGGAGAGCAATGGCGAGATCAGGGTTTGGGAGGTAGCTGGAGGGCACACTAACGACTCCTCAGAGAGTAAACAAATAAACAATGATGCACTGGTGGAGGAAGGCAGAGGGGGGGGGGGCAAGGGAGAGGAAGGAGGGCAAGGGATCCGGGGAGAGATGGAGGAAGGGGGGGGGGGGAGGAGGTCGAAGGAGAAGAAGGAGGACGTGGAGAGCCGAGGGGGAAGTGGAGGTGGAGGAGAGGAGGACGGGAGGAAGAGGAGGGGGAGGTGGAAGGGGCGAAGGGGAGGAGAGGAGGGCGGGAGGAAGAGGAGGGGGAGGTGGAAGGGGCGAAGGGGAGGAGAGGAGGGCGGGAGGAAGAGGAGGGGGAGGTGGAAGGGGCGAAGGGGAGGAGAGGAGGACGGGAGAAAGTGGAAGGGGAGGTGGAAGGGGTGACGAAGAGGTGGAGGAGAGGGAAGGCGAGAGGAGCCCAAGGGAAGAGAGGGAGGGAGGGAGAGTGGGTGTAGACGAAGGGAGGGGAGGCAGGAGGGAGGAAGGAGGGGGAAGGAGGGAGGAAGGGAAAGAACTGTAATGGGGGGGGGGGGGGGTAGAGTGGGCAGAGTGAGAGGAGGGCGAGTGGAGACGGAGAGGGAGGGGAGTGGGCTTGGGGGGGGGGGGGTCATGTGGCAAGGGGAAAAATGAAAGAAGAGGAAAAGTGGGAAAAGAGAGGGGGAGGTAGTGGGGGTGTAGAATATTATGAATGGAGGGAGAGAGAAAGAGTGGGGGGGGGAGGTATGAAAAAAGTAGATACAAAGAAAATGAGAGGGTCTGAGAAAAAGAGAGAGAGAAAGAAAGAAAGAAAGAGAGAGGGACAGCAGAGAGAGAGAGAGAGAGAGAGAGAGAGAGAGAGAGAGAGAGAGAGAGAGAGAGAGAGAGAGAGAGAGAGAGAGAGAGAGAGAGAGAAAGCAAAAAAGAAAGAAAGAAAGAGAGAAAACCCAAGTGAAAAAGAGAGGAAAATGAAAAAAGATAAACCAGATAAAAGTATCCAAAATACCAGAAAAAAAATACAAACAACACAAAGCGAATACAGAAGAGAGGAGAAAAAACAGCAAAAAAAAAGCGTAATGTAAAGCAACATGAAAAGGGGAAAAAATAATAAATAGTAAAGTGAAAGAGACATTAAAAAATGAAAATACGGAGAAACAGATAGAAAGAAACAGGAGAAAGTGAAAATTGTACTAAACAAAAAAGCAGAGAGAGACTAAAAGCTAAAGACTGAATCCCTTTCCGCCTCATAAATAAAAAAAAGAGAAAGTGAAACAAAAACCAAAAAGTTTGAACCCCCCCCCCAAAAAAAAAAATCCCAGCGAAAAGGGCAAAAAAAGTGCAAAGTAACAGATAAAAACAATAAAACCAGGAGAGTGCGAAGAGGAAATAGAGAAAGAGAAAGAGAAAAAAAAAGTTGTAGTGGCGAGTCACTGGGTCTGATGTTAGCCAATTTGCAGGTAACGCTTCCCTAAGTACTTTGGGAGAAGCGGAGGGACTTTTGAGGAAAGACGTGAGTGGGAAAATGACAAGAGCGAAAGAGTGATTGGAGGCAGAATCAATGGAAGCGGGAGAACGGAAGGAAAGAGAGAAGAAGGGGTGATAACTGTAGGGCCAGAGGGATGGCGAGAGATGGTGCAGTGCAGTGTGACTTTTTTCTTTTTTTCTTTTTTCACAGTTGGAGTCCTGCGTATATCAAGTGGTTAGCGGTATCTTTTTTGGGGTGGCGAGGACTTTATCTATATCCTATGTATGTATACCTACACCTTTCTTTTTCCCTCTGGCTCGTTCGTTCTTGTCTCGCCCTCCCTCTTACGTACACTCAAATTCACTCACACAAAAATGCAGAGGCAAGCAAGCACATGCAATCTCGCTTTTTCATCCTCTGCGCCTTGCATATTTCTCTTTTTCTCTCTCTTCCTCACTGTCACTTTCTCTTTCTGTTTGTTTGTTTGTCTTTCTGGTTCACTCCCCCCCCCCCTCTCTGTCTCTTTCTCTGTCTGGCTGTCTGTCTCTTTCTCTGTCTACCCTTTCGTCTTTCCTGTTCTCCCTCTCCCTCTCCCTTTCTCCTCCCCCCTTTCCTTCCTCTTCTGCGCATTCTCACATTTCCCTCTCTCTATCCTTCCCCCTCTTTCTCTTCCATCTCCCACCTTCCTTTTACTCCTCCCTTTTCCCTCCGCTCCTTCTCTATCTCTCTCTCTTTCTCTTCTCCCCTCCTGCTCCTTCTTCCCTACGCCCCTAGTATCTCTCTCTCTCTCTCTCTCTCTCTCTCTCTCTCTCTCTCTCTCTCTCTCTCTCTCTCTCTCTCCCTCTCTCTCTCTCTCCCTGCTACTCCTCCTTCTCCCTGCCATTCCTCCCTCTTCTCCTGAACATTTCAATTCATGAATAATAAAGAGGCGAGTCGCATCCTCACTCCACAACCGCAAGAACAGGATCCTTTTCTGCATACTGTTTTTTTTTAGGCCCTGATACCTTTGTACCTCTATTAACTGTGTTCTCCTTTCTCTGTTTCCGACTTTCCTTCTTTACCTCCCTTTAATCGTCCTTTATTTTCATATCATCCTTGCTTCTACTCTTTCTTTCTTCTTTCCTTTCGCCTTCGAGTTTTCCTTCACCCTTTCCTTGTTTTCTGTTTTATTTTTTTATTTTTTTATTTCTCCTTGCCTTCTCCAATCCTCCCTTTTCTCTTTTATTTCGCCCTCCTTCCTCTCCTTGCTTTCTTCCTTCATTTCCTCCCTTCCTTCCGTCCTTTTCTCTTTCTTTTCCATTCTTCATGTCCCTCTCAGACTTTACAAGAGAGAATTTTTTTTTTCTTTGTCAACATCCTTCCCTCCATACCCTTTTCTTGGCCCACTGGCTTCCCTTCCTCCCTCCTTCTCTCCCTATCAAACACCTCAAACGTACACGGGGCAAACCCGTTCATGGTTGTTAACTTCCCTTGCTCTTTTCTTCCCCTGCTCCGCTCCCTTTCTCTCATCTCCCCCCCCCCCTCCCTCGTTTCCTCCCTCCCCATCCAAATCCAACTTACCTAGAGCGAAGCCGTTCTTGGTCCACGGAACTTTGCTTTACTAGTTGTCAACCTCCTTCCTTTCCTCCCTTTCCTACCTCCCTTTCTTCCCTCCCTCCCTCCTTCGTTCCCTCCCTCCTCAACCACCTCTAACTTACCTAGAGCGAAGCCATTCTTAGTCCACTGAGCTTTGCCTTGCTGGTTGTCAACTTCGCATCTCAGAAGCGCATCGTCGCCTGCCACGGCCTCGATGTCCTGGGGAGGTACGCGGAAGGACTGCAGGAGACACCATCCTGGAAGGGAAGAGAGAGAGAGAGATCAGTTAAAGAAGATGGGGTTGTGATGGTTGGGACGGAATTGAAGGAGAAGGGGAAGGGGAGGGGAAGAGAGAGGCTGAGGGAGGGAGGAAAAGATGGAAGGGAGAGGGGAAGGAGGGGGGAGATAGAGAGAAGGAGGAAGAGGGGAAGGAGAGGGGAGATACAGAGAAGGAGGGAGAGAATCAGTTATAGGAGATAGGGTTCTAATGATTGAGAGGGAGAATACAGAGAGGGAAAAGGACAAGGACAGGGAGAGGGAGGAGGGGGAGGGAGAAGGAAGGAGAGAACCAGTTAAAGAAGATGATGACTTGAGGGAGAAGAAGAAGGAATTGGAGAAAGATATGAAAAGGGAGGGTGGGGGATAAAGAGGAGGGGGAGGGAAGAGAGAGAAAGATCAGTTAAAGAAGATGGGATGGGATTGTTTGGGTTGGGGATGGAGGAGGGGGAGGGAGGGAATGAGGGGGAGGAGAGAGAGAGAGAGAAAGGGGGGAATGATGGGACTGGAAGGACAGAGAGTGAGGGTAGGAGAATGAGAGAGAGAGAGAGAGAGAGAGAGAGAGAGAGAGAGAGAGAGAGAGAGAGAGAGAGAGAGAGAGAGAGAGAGAGAAAGAGCGGATATAGAAAGAAGATATTATATTGATAAAGAGAGGGCATAAAAAGCCGTTGACGTAAGAGGTAAGATGCATTTTCTTTGCGATGTTTCCTGGGTTCGAAAAGCAGGGAGGGGTAGAGGAAGAAGGGAAATGAGAGAGAGGGGAAAAGGGCAAGAAAGATAGGAGGAAGATAAAGGGAGAAAAGGAAAGAAAGTCATACAAAAAGGGTGACAGAGACAGAAAGGAAAAGAGGAAGAGGATAAAAGAGGGAAACAGAGACAGGAAAATGAGAAAGGGGTAGAAAGGAAAAGAGAGTAAGAAAGAGGACAAATAGAGAACAGGACAAAGGGATAATACGACGGAGAAGGTGAAGGATAGCAAGGGAGAAAAGGGGGGCAGGAGAAAAGGAATAGAAAAGAAAAAGAGGCCTAAATAACACACACAAAAGAGAGAGAGAGAGAAAGAGACGGGGAAATAAATAACAATCACGTAAAGTTAAAACAAAAGACACACTAATACAAACACGCACCCTTCCACAAGCCAACAACGGAACCAAAACTAAAATACAGAAACAAAGCACAAGTAAAGCATATCACACAGACAAACAAACAAGCAGGAATAAAAAAAATAATTAAAAATAAGAAGAAACAAAATCCTCCACGCCCCTTTTATCACGCGAATCCCTCAAGGTGGATTATTATTACTCTCCTTCTCCAGAATATCCTGAAGACCTGAGCTTCCCGGCGTGATAAGCAGTTCGCCACAAAAGCCTCTCACATGTACGAGAGTCTGGGCTAAGGCTATGTAAATTCTCAAAATGCTCCTACATGCTCCTTCGCCAGAGTCTCTCTCTCCTCCTTGCCTCTTGCTTCCGTCTTGGGAGAGCTTCCGTGAGCTGCAGATTTTTTTTTCCCCTTTTTTTTCTGGGGAATCTTGGCCTCCTTTGTTTTCATGTGTATGTTTTCGTTTTTTTTTTTTTTTTTTTTTTTTTTTTTTTTTGAGGGGTGAGGGGATGGGGGAGGGAGAAGACGTTTGATTTATGCATTCTTAATTTGGGGGGGGGGGGTCTTTTTAAGGGGGAGGGGTAGTTAGTGTTCTGTGTTATAATTTGATGTGATTTGTGTTCGATGTTGTTGTTGCTTTTTCGCTTTTTAATTGGCCTTTTATTATTCAGTCCTTGTCTATTTTCCTGTTTGCCTGCCTGTCTTCCGTTGTATATGTGCGTGTGTATGTATGTGTATATATGCGTTCCTGTGTGTTTGTGGTGTATTTATATGTTTGTGTGCATGTGCATGTGTGTGTGTGTGTGTGCGTGTGTGTGTGTGTGTGTGTGTGTGTGTGTGTGTGTGTGTGTGTGTGTGTGTGTGTGTGTGTGTGTGTGTGTGTGTGTATGTGTGTGTGTGTATATGTGTGTGTGTGTGTGTATGTGTGTGTGTGTGTGTGTGTGTGTGTGTGTGTGTGTGTGTGTGTGTGTGTGTGTGTGTGTGTGTGAGAGAGAGAGAGAGAGTGTATGTGTGAGTTATGTGCTTGTCTCCCAGTCTGCCTGTCGACCTCCCTTCGTACCTGTCTGTCTCTACAATATCCTTTTATGTACTGATTCCCTCACTATCCTTTTTAAGGATAGTGAGTGACAATAATAATCTCTATATGAGAGATATCAAATCTTTTTTAGAAATAATATTCAGAAAATAAAATCTTTCAACTCGTGGTGTAATTAAAACACCGGAATTTTATAAGAACAATGAAACGAAACATCGCTGCAAAAGAACCAATCCATTGCAACGGCACAAAATCTCATCAATTTATCATTCTAAAAAGAAATTATTTGAAGTTTATGACTCTAAAAGACATCACATATTACTGTCAATCATTTTACTTTTTGATTAATTTCTGTTCGGTAAAAAAAAGACAAAGAAAAAGAACTCGAAACGTCATTAATGGGGAATAATTGTTTTTTCATTCACGCCAGAAAATATACCTATTTTAGCAATGCCATTCGTAACAAATTTCCTTCAGTAAAAAGACAATTGGCATTACGGTGTGACGGATAGTACATCATATAATTTATGTAAATGAGCAAGAGCGGGTGGGTGGAGGTAGAGAGGAAGACATGGGTGGGGAGAACGAGGAACCGGGAGGGAGAGAGAGGGGGAGAAGTGGAGAAAAGTGGAAGTGGAAAAATAGGTGAAGAGGGAGAAAGAGGAAGGGAAGCAAGAGAGAGAGAGAGAGAGAGAGAGAGAGAGAGAGAGAGAGAGAGAGAGAGAGAGAGAGAGAGAGAGAGAGAGAGAGAGAGAGAGAGAGAGAGAGAGGAGAGAGAGCGAGCGAGCGAGCAAGAGAGAGAGAGAGAGAGAGAGAGAGAGAGAGAGAGAGAGAGAGAGAGAGAGAGAGAGAGAGAGAGAGAGAGAGAGAGAGAGAGAGAGAGAGAAAGATAGACAGACAGACAGATAGGC